AAAAAAAAAAAAAAGAACAAACACTTCTACAGTGCTTACTTGTGCCAGAACTGCTTTACGTCTCATGAAGTAATATCCCCGTTTTATGAGTGAGGAAACAGAGGCAAGTGGCTTTCCAAGGTCACACAGCTAGTATGTGGCAGAGCCAGGATTCTGGCTGCACCGTTCAAATCAGAGTCCATATTCATAACCACTGCACTCTCGGTTAAGACTCGGCGTGATGAACGTAGGTTGTTTAAAGCTGCATTCTTGTGCACGTGTTAAGCCTACCCGAGAGCTGTGTATTTTCCATCAAGTCACTCCAGCTCTTAGTCTCAGGAGGGTTTTTCCAAGCCTTGTGCGCTTTCCCTGGACACTGGCCCAGTGACTCTGGGTTCTCCATGCCATCTGGACTGCAGGAGCATGAGCCCAGCGTCTAGCACCACGGACAGCTCCCCACACGTTCTTCCTAATGCTCACTGTCCTAAGTTATTCTGACAAAATTTCTGGGCCATCCTACCCTTTCTTTACCAGGTGGCACTGTTTAGGATAAAGCACAAAGGAGGAAGCACTCTAGGTTACACTCCCCTTTGAGTTAACAGCCTTGGTGGGCATGAGAGAAAGCTTACCGATATGGAAAAAGAGGAACTTTCCTCCATACAGATCAGCCATTCCTGACATCACAGTGACTCCCGATTACACCCTCCCCCCAGTCCTGTTTATCCACACAGTGCAAATGTCATCACTTTACCAGACTGAAAAAACTTTTCTAAGGCAAATATTCTAGAGGCTATGATATCCCTGATTTTTGTTAAATACCCCCAAAGTTATTTGGCCACTGGGCCAAAATGACCAAATGGAGCGGAAACACTAAAGCATTAAGAGGAACTCTCACATTAGTCTTTAGGAAACTGACATCTGGAACCACAAGGTCTTAGCTCAGTTTGTGGCTTCAAAAAAATACACACGGGTCACCCCTCGATTGGACATACACTAGACGTTCCTGTTGCACCCCTGTTGGGAAACAGTATAGAGTCAAATGTCCGGATGGAGATACCTCAGTCAAAATCACTCTGCAGGGACTCCAATCACATTCTATGATGGCAGTCATACATTTAGAACATGTCACAGGGCCTGAAACTCAAAGACAGATGGCCTCTACTCCCCACTGTCTTCTCACCTGGGAAGAGGACACGACTGACCATTCCAGGGAATACCATCATGAAGAGAGGAAGCACCTTCAGGTAGGCAGCCATCAGAGAGCCTCCTTTGGCATGGGACAGGTTCTTGGCAGCCAGAGACCGCTGAACAATCACCTGGAAAACAGTGGGGTGGTTGGGAGCTGAGGTGGCTCTCTGTAATGGCAAACTAAGTGTGCACAGCTCCTGAGTACGTGTCAAGGACTTAGGATCTTGGTTTGCCTGGCTTCCCTCAGAGGAAGCATTGCTTCCCTATCTCCAATACCCATTGAACAGTTCGGGAAGCCAGGAATCCCATTCTGTTCCCTCCCCACTCCTTTATCCTGGGATTGCCGCTGGCCAATTAGATTTCTCCACAGAGTTACTCTATTTCTCTGGCTACCATTTTCAGTTAAGGACAAGTACAAATCCAAGGTGGGCCAGTTACAACTTCCCATGGAACTTCTCTAAGTATCCGACTTCAGCTCAGGTCATGATCTCATGGTTCGTGGTTCAAGCCCCGTGTTGGGTCTGTGCTGACTTCGCATTCTGTGTCTCCCTCTCCCTCTCTGCCCCTCCCCTACTCATGCTCTGCCTCTCCCTCTCTCAAAAATAAATAAACATTAAAAAATTTTTGAGAGACGGGCGCCTGGGTAGCTCAGTCGGTTAAGTGTCCGACTTCAGCGCAGGTCATGATCTCATGGTTTGTGAGTTCGAGCCCTGTGTCGGGCTCTGTGCGGACAGCTCGGAGCCTGGAGCCCACTTCCGATTCTGTGTCTCCTGTCTCCTTCCCTCTCTGCCCCTCCCCCACTCTTGCTTTGTCTCTCTGTCTCTCAACAATGAATAAACGCTAAAAACAATTTTTTTTTAAATTAAAAAAATTTTTTTTGAGAGAGAGACAGAGCACACCCCCAGGCCCAAGTCATGGAACCACAGTTCATAGGACTGGTATGAAAAGGAATTAATTCACCGAATGGTTAGATCAGGGCCTGGATCAGCATCAGGAAATGTTTAAATGCCATCATAATTGTCTACTGTTACTTACCTTCTCAGTCTCTACCCAGGAAGATCTGGAACATTCTTTGTGAATTGTGAATGCTGCTTTACCCATGTCCTGTTCTAAAAGTAGCCTAGACAGGGGCGCCTGGGTGGCGCAGTCGGTTAAGCGTCCGACTTCAACCAGGTCACGATCTCACGGTCCGTGAGTTCGAGCCCCGCGTCGGGCTCTGGGCTGATGGCTCAGAGTCTGGAGCCTGTTTCCGATTCTGTGTCTCCCTCTCTCTCTGCCCCTCGCCCGTTCATGCTCTGTCTCTCTCTGTCCCAAAAATAAATAAACGTTGAAAAAAAAAAATAAATAAAATAAAAGTAGCCTAGACAGAGGGCTGTGCGTTCCCTAGGGCAGCACCAGCACAGTGAACCAAGCAAGTCAGAAGACTCTACAGAATCTAGGTCAGCAGCAATACTGTGTGGTCAAAACCAGAGTCACAGCGTCAAGGAGCGCTTGGGTTTCTAGGCCCTCTTGCCCTGCCTGGCATTTGGAAGGAGACAGAGTCCCCTGTGACTACGTCCCCAGGCTCCTGAACCATGCAAGGTGGGTTGGAGGTGGCTTTCAAAGGGTGCATGCTGCAATCTCAACTAAGAAGGGCGTGAGGAATCTCAAGGAAATATTTGCACAAATTCATACTGTGTGAAGAGCAGTTAACAGGGGCGTGTGGCTGGCTCAGTGGGTAGAACATGTGATTCTTTTTTTTTTTTTAATTTTTTAAAAACGTTTATTTGAGGGAGAGAGACAGAGCGTGAGTAGGGGAGGGGCAGAGAGAGGCGCAGAGAGAATCCAAAGCAGGCTCCAGGCTCTGAGCCATCCGCACAGAGCCCAACATGGGGTTTGAACCCACAAGCTTGTGAGATCATGACCTGAGCTGAATCCAGACACTTAACCAACTGAGCCACACAAGGCTCCCCTTTGCAATTCTCCATCTCAACATTATGAGTTTAAGCCCCACACTGGGCATGGAGCCTACTTAAAAAAAAAAAAATAGTAACATAAACCATAGCAAACCTATAAATGTTTTTAATGGTGTATTAGCTGTCTCTCCAACAAAAGGACTATGACCAAATTCCTCATGCTTTCCTCTTCTGTAACCATTAGTAACCCCACTTAACAGATGAGGAAACAAGATGTTAGGATGCCAAGGTTACCCCCACTGAACTTAATTCCAGGCCTGGTAAGTTTGCTTTTTTTCATGTTTATCTTTGAGGTGGGGGAGGGGCAGAGAGGGAGGGGGACGGGGGATCCAAGCAGGCTCCGCGCTGTCAGTGCAGAGCCGGACGCCAGGCTGAAACTCACACCCCGAGCCGAAACCGGATGCTCAACCGACTGAGCCACCCAGGTGCTCCCAGGCCTGTGAAGTTCAAAGCTCATGCTGTTAACCTAGATCTGCGCTGTGTCCCAAGGTCTCCTCTACCTGAGATGGGCTGAGGGGGAGAAGATTTGCCAAGGACGGGCTCCTTCTTAGAGGGGGGCGGTACACGTGCGCTGCGCCCACCACTGCCCCGGGCGCAGAGGAGTCGCGGCCCATGGGGGGACCCGGCCTCCTTTTCCTGCAGTGTTGATCGGCATACATTCCGCGGCCCTACTCCATGATCGTTACTTCGGTTAAACTTCCATCAGCCCTGACTCTGCAGTACGGCTGCCAAGATGGCACACAGGTCTCTCGTCTTCAACAGGAGAGGCATTTTGATTCACGGGGCTTAAATCTTGACAAAGTACTAACAGGTATACAGCAGGAAACAACTTCCGTCCAACCTGGCGCGACTGCCCTGTCTCCCTGCCCATGAGCCCTCTTCTTTCTTTTACCTACATGCATCCGGGCTCCTTTGTGCAAATATAAGAAATGTGAACATTGATTCTATCCACACTCTGTTAACACAAGGGCTTATTATGCATCCTGTGCTGCCTTGTACCTTATTTGTTTCTCCTTTGCACTGGCTGTTGCCTCTGCTGCACACTCTGTTCCCCACCTATTGCTGGGAGCCCTGCTCCTCTCCTTCGAAGCCTGTGCTTCCAAGGGTCACTTCTTGGTCCTACCTCCCCTTGCCACCCTATTTTATTTATTTTTTAATACATATTTTTAATCTCTACACCCAGTGTGGGGCGTGAACTCAACCCTGAGATTAAGAGTTGCATGTTCCACCACTGCCCTTTTATTTATTTATTTATTTTTTTAAATTTTTTTTTTCAACGTTTATTTATTTTTGGGACAGAGAGAGACAGAGCATGAACGGGGGAGGGGCAGAGAGAGAGGGAGACACAGAATCGGAAACAGGCTCCAGGCTCTGAGCCATCAGCCCAGAGCCT